AATAAATAATTATTTATAATTTTATTTCCTTATTTATGTATTTTTTTCCACATTTATTTCTTTTTTCTTTTATTTATTTATACATTTATTTATTTCCACTTTTCATTATTTTCACATTTATGCATTTATTTATGTATTTCTTTATTTTATTTTCACATTTATTTATTTCTACATTTATTTGTCCGTAGGGTAATGAGGAGGGTGTGTTTTATCTCAGTAATAGCAATCGAGCCAGAGTAGGCGAGGGGTAAGCTTTGAGGCCACAGTGACACCTTGTGGTGCCCAAACAAAATACAAGAAGTGTAGCATACATGACGCACCTGTTGTGTGATGAATGATTTAGATGGGCAATATGGCCAAAATCTTATATCACGGGTTATCAATTTCACGTGGGGGGTTGATTCGGCTGGGAAGCGTGCAATCTGTGATCGCGTGCATTTGCTGAAGCTCACGAATGCGTGCTGTTTTTTTAGGTTTCACTTTCAACACATACAACGCATGTTTCAAAGATTCGGGATAGAAGGAGGCATCAGTTACTGTAGAAGATTTGTCGCCTCGCGCCACTTCCCGTGTGGTCACCGCATCAACTGATTATAATGGGTTCTCTTGGTGTAGACACGACTTTAGATACGGATTTAGGCTGAAAATATCAAGAATTATATCAAACAAAAGGTGTCCATGGGAACGGAGCTAGTGAAACACACACATCATGCATTGTAGCTTAAAACATTTTTAATATTTGCGACTGACACCAACGATTATATGCTATGCAGTGGAGATGCGTTCACTGTCAAATATCATTCAGCATTCACTTTGAAATTGTCAAATATTTTTTCTTGATTACAAGAAAAAAACTTGTTCTTGTTGTGATTTATTTCTTGTTTTTCCATTTAATTCATAAGTTAACACTGCAAATGAAATGGTTTCGGGTTTTTTTCTGCAGTCGAAGAAAGAATAGCCTAAATTATGTCAGTGATTTCTCTCATTTTAAAGATTATCAAGAAGACTATATATATATGTTCTAACCTGTAACTCGGGAAATGTAACGAAAAAAAAAAACATAATTTTTACTTAAAACCAATTCATTTTTAAGCCCTGATTTTAGACATACATGAGATAATATATTGTTTGACTAAATGTTTAAAAATAACGCTATAAATGTTATAATTAAGGGAATTAAACATAGGCCTATTTGAAAATACATAATAAAATGTGTCTTCTCAAGCAATAATTCCAAAAAGAAAGAAGCATCGGACTTAATGCAAAACATATTAAAGACACTAGAGCCCGACCGATATATCGTTTTGCCGATATTATCGGCCGATATGAGCCTGTAGCCGATATATCGGTATCGGCGAATATGCCGCCGATATGAAAATTTTTTTACAGAACATATAACGCAGATAAAATGCTTGAAATGGTGTAATTACTTAGTTTGTCCAGCAGAGTGTGCTCCACTGTTTGCTACTGGCGACCTGGATGAAACGCTTTAAAGCTTAAGTCTATGGAAAACCACTGAAACTTTGAACGGCCATATCTCCGTAACGGCGCGGCCAATCCGCACCAAATTCGGGGGATCCCTTCAGCTCAAGGAACCTTCTCGAATGCGAATTGCGTGTACGTCTAGAGGCCCGCTTTCGAATGAGACCACCCCCGCGTCGATAGCCCCCAGGGTTCGGGAGTTACAGGTGGTTAAATTCGCGGTCCGGCGCCGAACGATCAAGCGATCCCGGGGGGTTACCGACGCGCGGAGGGTGGCGTTCGAGAGGGCTCCTCTAGCTGAAGGGATCCCCCGAATTTGGTGGAGATCTGCCGGCGCGTTCGCGAGATAGTGACACCAGTCAACACTTTCACTTCAGTAAGGAGGTCTCTTGTTCAGGCAGCAGCATTCAAGCGTTGGTATATACTGTATTTTATATATAGTACCAGTCAAATGTTTGGACACACGAATGGGAAAGTGTCCAAACTTTTGACTGGTATTGTACTATAATATACACAAAGAATATCGGCCGATATATATCGATATCGGCCTTTTTTTAACTCCCTAATATCGGTATCAGTATCGGCCCCAAAAAACCCAGATCGGTCGGGCTCTAAAAGACACTTTGCTGTGACATTTATTATGGTCACCAACATAGCAGGTAAGCTAATGTTTTCTGTTATATTAAGCACAAACTAAGAAAAGTAAAACAAACCTTGAAGTTCTCATGAAATCAAAATGGACTTTATTTACTTTACTAGCCCACATTGC